CTTTTTATACTAATAGGAAATATGTGATTTTCTAGGGTTTTCATACTTATACAAACTTTTTATTGAACATTTACAAGTCTTTTCTTTACGGTTTACAAATCAACGACACTAAAATACTTATGAATTCACCAGCTTAAATGCTGATCTACGCTTTCAAAATAACTTGTATTCTCAGGTCACCAGTACACAGGTACGATGACCAGGTTTTGAGAAGACGGAGCAGTCAAGACTCGTCTTTTATTTTGATTACTTATTATCATGTCTTATTCTATAAAATAATACACTTGTATTAGAACTTTACTATTAATGCAATGGATGATGTTGTTGCTTGTTTACTACTTTACACTATTGTGATACTTTACATGACGTCCTCCGCCCCGGAACGTTTCCGCCGTTCTTGGTTTTAGGGTGTGACAGAAGCATGATCTCTTGTTCCTCGATCATATCGTGGAATATCATCTTCAAAGGATTCAGGAAGACCATGATTGTCAGAACTAGACATCTACAAAACGGGAGAAAATTCAAGTCAGTTGATTTAGTCCTTAATAAAACACCCAAATGAGTTATTAAGGCTAGGATCCAACACAATACTCTACAACCTAGAAGAGGGATGTCGTAATCTAGTTGCCTAATATTTGAATGACGATTTACCAATTTCCACCATGAAAAACAAAAATGAAGTTTAAATTTTAAATGAATTGAAACTCCTAGATATTTTGAGATTCATTGAACTCTTCAATAGCATGTTTAATCTCGATTATGCCCTTCAAGTTTGCGACTGGGATGCCGAGGATCACAAACAAGGTGTGAATAACCATACGAATCTACGTGGTGCACTCAATGCTACTATCACCTAATCAATGTGTCGGTTAGCCACACACGCTCCATTGATCTATGATAAACATCGAGCCACCTTTCGCTACCAATGTCAATCCCAAATTAGTGTGTCGGTTAACCACGCATGTTCCACTAACGTTTGACAAGGGTACGAAGTGTAGTTCCATGGATTAACATACAATTTCACATTTTGCCTAAAGTAACTAAGATTTGGGAATTTATAAAAGCATTTAGTTACTTTGTACTTCATTATACTTATAATGGAAGGTTGTGTCCTATCCTACCCGTTCGGCTAACGACCCTCCACTAGTCAAGAGTGCGGTGGGTAAGAGTGGATACTCATTCAATCGCCATTTTATAGGCAATTTCCTTAAACACCCCTTATAGACCACCAGCTTCGTGAATGAGGCCTACTAACGGTAAGACTGACTGTTTACTCATACATCATATATATATATATATATATAATATATAATATATTAGACTTTTAATGTTATATATATTATAGGGTGTATTTTATACTTTTAAAATACTAGGTGGTCTAATTTAATAAAATTAACTTTAATTTAGTTAAATGTAAACCAAAACTTTATGAAATTATTAACTCTCTTTTAATTATACATTTAATTAACTTAATAAAACTATAAGGATGTAATTTGAACTTTTCAAAATACTAGGGTTTTAGAATTTAATATTTCAAAATTAAACTTTTAATTAAATTTTAAATTCCAAAACTTGAGGACAAGTTTTGAACTTTTCAAAACATTATGGTTCAACTATTTAAATTTCAAAACCTAAAACTATTATGTTCAAATTTAAAAACTATAAAACCTTAAGGGTGTAAGTTGAAACTTTTTCAAACTTTATCAAGAATATTCTAGATCAACAATTCAAATAAGTCAATTAACAATTAATTGATGATTATCTAATTTTGACCTAGTCCAATTTCTTGCAAGATAATTCACAAAATAATTCAAATAATCAAATTTTATCATATAAGGAAGTTTTTATTCAATTAATATGAAATAATCTTTTATTTTGGCAAGGATAATCACCAAATATCAATGAAAATCGGATTTTATTGATTAAAAACGTTTTTGGTAGTTATCCCACAGCAAAATAGGCAAGAAACCCGAGATTTCCTCTTCCTGGCTAACTGACTCATTGAGTTCGCTATGGACTCGGCGAGTCAGACCCAAAAAATCCATATTTTTCGATTTTCAGCCAATTTTCGATCAAATAAGCATCAAATTCACTAACAAACAGCCCTAGGCTCTGATACCACTAGGGTGAGCAAAAACCGCACCGCAACTAAAATTAACCGCATAAACCGCAACCGATAAACCGCAACCGTGGTGAGGTTTTCTGTTTTTCAAAAACCGCAAATTTGCGGTGCGGTGCGGTTATTAGTTTTCAGAAACCGCAAAAAAACCGCACCGCACCGCGTATATTATATACAATTTTTTTTATTAATTATTTATATATTAAATATTAAAAATAAGACAAGTTTCATGGATGAAAGATAAATAAAATACTAGAAGACAAAAGTGTTGGTTTTTTGTTATGTTTAACTTTGAAAAATGATGAATTAGACAATTTTAAGATATTTATTGTTAATTACTATTGATTTTTCGTTTTTAATATATTAGTTGTTTGTGATTTAAGTTAATTGTCTTATACCTTATGGTATTTTTTATCATTACAAGTAATATGTTTGAACTTTTAAAACCGTTTGAGCTTTAAACTGTGGTTAAAAATCACACAAAATAACCGCACCAAATCCATGCGGTTAATAACCGCAACAAAAAAAAAACAAAACCGCACCGCAAAAATAACCGCCTAACCGCACCGCTAAAATAACCGCACCAAGCGGTTTTGAAAATGGATTAATCGCGTTTGCGGTTAGTGGTGAGGTTTTGGCTAATAACTGCACCGAACCGCACCGCGCTCACCCCTAGATACCACTGATGGGTTTTGAGCACTACATCATTCCTATGGTGTACATGCAAATCCTAATGCTTTGGATCTAGTTTGTCTAATGAACATGTAATTAATTATCCAAAGCCATAACCCTAGATCTAACATATTATGAACTGAATTAGGGTTTAGAGAATACCTTTAATTGTTATGTAGTAATAACAATCTGTTCCTTGGCTTCAGAAAGCTTAGTACCTCAAGTGTTGCACCTCTAATGGAGTCACAAACACCAAGAGCAACAAGGATGAAGAGGAGAAGAGGAAAGGCACCCAAAAACGTCTAGAAACCCTAAGGGAAGTCTTAGCCACGTTTTTGGGGCCATAGGGGTCCTTTATATATGTAGGCTATTAGGGTTTTCAACTAGGAAACCCTAATCTGACTGCTTAGGCCTTAAGCAGTCCAATGGACCATTCCAGAAGGCCCTCGAACGATTTCTTTATGGACCTCCACATAGAATTCGTCCATTGCCATCTAATGGATCCTAAGCCCAACTTTGTAACTATCTTATAATTACAATATCAGTCCCCTTAATTTAATTAATCTCTTTTAGCCACAAAATTAATTCTTAATTAATTCTTGACTAATATTAATTAAACAATATGATTCTTCTTAATTATTATTCTCATAATATATTAATAAATCATAATTAATCCTCTCTCTCTATATATATAATTCATCCTACAAGTTGCTACGGTGAAGGCAACCCAAAAGGACCATGCTCATAATCGGGTCAAGTACATACCAAAATAGTTATGGACTTAGACACTAATCCAACATCGATTACCATTCTTTTCTCCAAGCACAACAACTTATACCATTACTTCAAACATCAAACAACATATATATATATTATTATATATATAATATATAGATATATAATATATATATATATATATATATATATATATAGACACTTAATACCATTCTACAATTCAAATATCGTTACTAGGACCAAAATGCCCTTAAACACATAATAACAATCTAATATACTTATACAAAAATTATAGGTTCTTACATATGAGTCGGGTCACATATAAGTTTTCATAGTTTTTTTAATATGTATTGAAGTGTTGGCGCACTTCTTTTCGTACAACTTTATTCAGAAAATTACTTTAGATATTATTAAAACATTGGGCCCCACATACCCCCTTCCCTTCCCCCATCCACCCATTCCCTTTTAAAGCCACGATCTGCTCAAGATCCATCTCTCCCTCTTCTCTAAACTCAAACCTAAAGCTATCGATCTCCACCTCAACTTCCCCGTCGGAGCTGCCGAAAAATTGCAACTCTAAAGTTATCGTCATCCAATGTTTCCGATCTCCTTTGATCTCTGTTGTACTACTCCGCCTCATCACGTTGCCTATTCGAAGCTCCGCTCAATTGCACGTTGGTTTGGGCAACAATTTACGGTAGGGGATTTGATTTTGTCAACACCACTAATGTCATCGACCTTCGTCTCTTTTCCGTTCGAAATAAACCCAACACGACAAACCCTGATGCAAATTCCAATTTAGGGTTTGTGTTTTTTCTAATTAGACATTGGCAATGGTAAACACTAGTATTCTTTTTTTTTTTTTGTTGATTTGGCTTAATTCTAAGTAGATTTAGGGTGTTAATTGATGGCAGTGGCGGCGGAGTTCATTTTTTATTTTGGTTCAATTCCTTTTGATTTAATGTCGTGATTATTGGTGGTTAGTAGAGGTTAATTGTGGTGGTTGTTGGAGATTAACATGAGGGTTACCTAGACATGTTGTCGGAGGCGAATGAGGTTACCTATAGTGGATGAACGGAGGTTACTGGAAGTGGATGGGAAAGGAGAAGACAAGTTTGTGTAGAGTAGTTGGACCCATTTATTTGTAAATTATTTTAATTAATAAATAATACATAAATTATAAAAAAATGAAAAAGAAAATCGACAAAGGACAATATAGTCTTTTAATTTCTGTGAGGGACGAAAAACGCAATAAATGATAACTTAGAGACCATCCGAATGTAAAAGAAAGCTAGGAACCAAACGTGAAATTTATGGAAATCATAAGTTCTATAACAATGAAACAATAAATAGAAAATTTTCCGGAACAAAATTGAATATTAGATAGCCAAAGTTACTCCATAATTTTAAATTACTAGATTATTGTCAAATTTACACAATATTAGAAATATGATGCATTTTCCACTTTCCAATCTTTAAGGAACATTGTCGTCTTCAAATACCATTCCACCTTTCTTACGAGAAGATCGATTAAACCCCATGATTCTTGGAACCCTAGTCGCCTACGTCTCTGTAGAAACTCCAAATCTATACCCATCGACATTGTATGGACAAATTCAATTTTAAGGAAAAATCGCTTAAGAACCCTAGTTATTCAGATTTTGGGAGTTCTTATCTACGTAAGATCAACCCTTTTCAATGGCGACGACGGAAGCTGCCAAATTCAAAAATACCGACCTATTAGCCGTCGCACAACCACCAGATTACCACCGGCAGGTTGCTGTTTTGCCATCCCACGATGGCCTGCACTTCTGGCAGTTCATGGTCGCCGGTTCCATCGCCGGCATGGTCGAACACATGTCCATGTTTCCAATCGACACTATTAAAACTCGTATGCAAGTATTAGGCTCTTGCCCCATCAAATCCGTGGGGATCCGACAAGCTTTCGGCTCGATTATCAAGTCCGATGGTGCTGCCGGGTTTTACCGTGGAATCGGCGCTATGGGACTCGGCGCCGGTCCGGCACACGCTGTCTACTTCTCCGTTTACGAGTTGTGTAAAGAAACCTTTTCCAGAAACCACCCAAACAACCCGATGGGTCACGCCGCGGCAGGGGTTTTTGCGACGGTTGCAAGTGATGCGGTGTTTACTCCGATGGATATGGTGAAGCAGAGGTTGCAGTTGGGGAGTGGGAGTCCGTATAAAGGGGTTTTCGATTGTGTGAAGATGGTTTTGAAAGAGGAAGGATTTAGGGCGTTTTATGCATCGTATAAGACGACGGTTTTGATGAATGCACCGTTCACGGCGGTGCACTTTGCCACGTATGAGGCGGCGAAGAGTGGGCTGTTGGGGATTTCGCCGGATATTGCCAGTGACGAACGGTTGGTGATTCATGCCACTGCCGGCGCCGCCGCAGGGGCTGCCGCTGCTGCTTTGACTACTCCACTTGATGTGGTGAAGACTCAATTGCAGTGTCAGGTAATTTCAAAATCATTTTTTTTTTCACGATGTTATTCAACTTATTCTAGGTTTGCAGTTTTATAATCATATCAAAAGGGTTTGCAACTTTGCATTGATTTTCAAAGTGTATGCAATTAGATATTTCAAAGTATAATGTCTTTTAAGAAAACTTGTGAGAGTACATTAAAATTGGTTAGGTTTTATAAAGTAGGAAAATATTGAAGTATAGCATTCTTCTTCCATTTTGAGAGTACAATACCCAATGATAATGAGACACATATTGTCCCACCCAAAAAGGTGTGACAAACTCTTTCTATTTATGTCTTGTCTATATAAAAAGACGCGAATACCCTTATTATCTTCATTAGCAAATATCCCTCGAAATCTCATCCCTTTCCTATTTTAACAATATGTTACCGATGATCTTTGCAGGGTGTCTGTGGATGCGATAGATATGTAAATGAGTCGATTGGGGGCGTTTTGGGAACAATTGTTAGAAAAGATGGGTATATTGGACTTTTTAGGGGATGGATGCCTAGGATGCTTTTCCATGCTCCCGCTGCCGCCATTTGTTGGTCAATTTATGAATCCGGAAAATCGTTTTTCCTAGACTTAAATAATGGAAATATAGACAACAGATTGATGTAATCAGATTGGACACAGGTTTGGTCCATAGTAGTCCAATCTGATTACATCATAGGCTGGTCTAATATCTTAGACGGGGCCAATCTAAAAAAGTATATTGACATTTGACATTTAATTTCCCATTTGTTGTATCCTAAAAATGGCCCCTTAAGATTGTGACTAAAACCACTTGCAAAGAGAGATCTAATTATCCAAGGGCAGAAAGGTAAATTGAGGCTTGGCTCGGTTCTCTAGTGTACATTATCCTTAATTTATTGGTTTTAACATATTCATTTATGTGGGAGGGCCCAAATAATGTTGATTATTGTTTTTGGTTTTTGAAGTTTTGCTTATTAACATGTACCGAATTCTGTTGGGTTTTTACTGATCATCTGTTGAGTTGATTGTCTTCTTGCAATTTTACATCTATCAAACATGTAGAGACTTAGGGTGGTTTAGTAATTTTATCATGTTTACTATTTTGGTTGTTGATGTTACTTTTGTAGTCAAATGCCAAAACAGTCATCTATTTATAAAAACATCATGCTGTTTTGAAATTAGTTATATGAAAACCAAAATTTTGGACGGGTTCAGTTTTCTATAAGATGGATAAAACTCAAAAGAATGATGTTTTATGTATAAGTTACTTTAATTATTTATTTGAAAACTAAATTTCGATTATTTTTTGAGGAAATTTCTCCCAATGGCCATTGTCCGTGCAAAACAAATTAAATTGCAACGCATACAAATTGATCCTAAAAGAATGCCGGTTTAGTCATGGCAGTGGTACCAAAAATCATAAACGGAAAATCCTATACAAAAAACAGTTTTGGTTATGTTTGTCAAAATTGCGATTTTGGTCGTAGTATGATCTTAGGTATGAAAATCAATCCGGATCGTAAAAGGATTGTATTTGGGATAGGATCATAAGATCGTAGGTAGGATCGAGATCCGATCCGATCCTACCTTCTCTTGATTTTTTTTTTATTTTTTTTTTGCAAATGAATTTTTTTACCCTTTTATGTCTTTTACTTTTTACCACTGTTGTAAAAATCCCGACTACGTCCCGATTAATCCCTAGGCGCTACCCGACCGATTAGAGGGCGCCTAACGATTAATTTCTGCATACATAATGACTGAAACATTATAAAACGATGAAATTTTAACATTTTGAAAAAGTTTTATCTAATTTGAAACTATTTGAGACATGATTAGTGTTGTATTAATCATATTAACCTATTTTGTTATCATATTAGTGGTATTTACGAACTTTGATATGATATTAGTCATATTTAATTTTTTAAAATTCAACAAATTAACAATTAATGGTACCCGATTAATCCCCCGATTAATCTCCGCCTAGCTGATTAATCCATTGACCCCAGTCCACCGACTAGTTAACGTCGAACGTTTTTTACAACCTTGTTTTTTACCAATTTACCATTTATCATTTTGTAGTGTGACTTATGACTAATATTTTGAAGTTTTTATAACTTTTGAACGAAAAATTGAATGTTTGAAATATTTTTCATGATTAAAAATTAAAAATTAAAATTATATTTTATTTTGTGGGATCTTAGGATCCCGATCCCGATCTTGCGAACCCAAAAACGATCCTAGGTAGGATCCCGATCTTGACAACCTTAGTTTTGGTCCTTGTGGTTTGCTCTAATCTGTATTTTTAGTCCAAGTTTTAATTTTTTGGTATGGTTTGTCCATGTGGTTTCCAAATTTTGCACCGGAGGTTGCTCAGGCATTTATCGTCTAATGTTTTGTAACAAAATACAGAGAAGAAATTGTTACCTTAAGGTTATAAAGTCAATCAATTCGATTCATTTTATATTTCCTTCTATTTTAAATCCATAAAAACGATTGAGAAACAATGTTATCAGAGATCATTCTTTTCTCGGCTTGTTGTCGAGATGCAAAATTCAACACATGAGGTTAATTCAAACCAAGGTTATAAAAAAACGTTTGACGTTAGCTAGTTGATGAACTAGGGTAAAAGGATTAATTAGGGATCCTAAATTGCTAATTCTGTTGAATTTTAAAAAATTAAATATGATTAATATAATAACAATGCTCGTAAATACCACTAATGTCATAATGAAATAGATTAATATGATTAATACAACACTAATCGTTTTTCAAATAGTTAATATTAAGATAAAACTTCTTCCCGTTTCACATCATTGTCTGCCTCACCATAAACCTTATCGTCAACCACCTACAACACCAAAACATTTTCTCACCTGAAACACAGACACACTTCCTTATCAAACGTCGTGCGCTTAACACCGTAGAATCGACAAGCCGGTGACACTATCTCTATAAACACACTAAAGAACGTCGTTTTTGGGAAACTGTTGTGTGAACTTTCAAAAGAATGTCGTTTTCAGCTGCACTATGCACATGTACTTAAAACATGTGAACTTTCTGAACACGGATCTAGGGTTCTCTTTTAGTAATTGAGTCATTGAAAATGATTCCATATTCTTGAACACGGTCTTCTTCTTCATCGTCCTTAAAACCCTTGAAAATCTCACTAATAACATACAATTGGAAAGCAAAACATCTATAACTCGATTTAGAGAAAACATTTGTAACTTGATCTAGGAAAGCACACACTGAAATTTAGCTTCGTTTCTATGTATTTGTTGAATCATCTTCTGGCCGTTACTTTTTCATTGAATAAATTTCAAAATCTTTCGATTTAATCACTCTTTCCATGTTATTCATGGTGAATTCGGACCTCTTCATGAGGGTTTTTTGATCCTTGGTTTTCGAGAACATTCATAACGGGTTGTTCTTGAACCTCATTCTCTTGAATTTGATTTTGTAAAAATCTAGATATCATGTGGGTGTTTAGATGTTTGATTCTGTTGTATGTTGTAGGTGCCTACAATAAGGCTAGGGAGGAGGCATGCGATGATGTTAAACGAGAAGAGAAGTGTAAAGGGTGGTTTGGTTTTGTTAATGATTTTTTCTATTTAATAATAACAAAAATAATAAGAATAAAAAAATTGATAGAAAATATAAAATGAAGGGTAAACTAGTAACTTGTCAACAACTCAACGACTTCTAATTAGTCTTGTTAAGTTTAGAGACCAAATCTACTGCGAGACAGATAACTAATGACTTTTTGCAAATCGAAACTATTTTGGACTTTAGAAAAAAAAAAATACAAATCACAGTAACCATTTCTATAGTTTTCTCGAAAACTATAAATATATAGTTACTTTTGTATTTTTATTTTACAAATTATAAAAACTAATTTTACAATTTTCTTAAAAACTATATATAGTTACTTTTGTATTTTTATTTTAAGGGATATTGTCATAAAAACCTAGGGTTTTCAAGAAATGTTTGGTTTTAAGAGATATTGTCATAAAAACCCTTGGGTTTTACCCTTTGACAACTTTTAGGTTCACTAATGCCTGAAATTTACATAAAATTTTGCATTTTCGCCCTTTCAGGGTTACCCGGTTTTCTAACCGGTTGTATGAATCGGTGGTGCGCTACGTCAGCGCTTAATGGGCTTTTTTGGCTGACTAGACGCTGTATTCGCTTATTTAAAAAGAAAACATGAAGCATGGAGGCAAAGGGTTCGAACACCCGACCTCCTGGAAGGAAGGCAAGCGCTTTTCCACTAGGTTACAACGAATTTTGCTTTAAATATCCTGCTCTCTTTTATATATTACATCATACTGATAATGAAATTATTATCACTTTGATTATTATTATTTATTATTATTATTATTATTATTATTATTATTATTATTATTATTATTATTATTATTATGCATTATTAATATTCTTGTTATTTTTATTATATAACTAAATTTTGTGAATGTATAAATATTTTTCAAAACATATTTATATATTTAAAAATGTTATATTTATATCTTCAAATTTTCGTTATACCTTTAGAAACTTAATTTTTATTTTTAATATACATAAATATGATTTTCATAAATAATTTTTTTATATGCATAAATACGTTTTTTATACGTATAAAACAACATTATAAACGTATATTTTAAAACGTCTTTATAGTTATAAAAGTATGTAATAAAATGATTCTATATATGTATAAAAATGTATATATACATTTGAAATAAAAAATATATTCTATATATAAATACATATTGTTTACATATAAATATATGTATAAAAAATTTATATATACATTTAAGAATGTACAAATACATATAATTATATATAAACACATATCATTATCAGTAGTTTATACAATATATGAAATAAAAATATATTTATCCTACTAAATACAAATAAATATATTTTTAATATATAAATACGTTTTTAAAGAAATACATAGACTTTCAATATCAAATGTATATAAATATTAAATAAAAATAAATATATTTAAAAAATGTATTTATATGTTTAAATATATTTTTATACATTTAAGATCATATTTAAAATTATATGTTTAAAATTTTTTATACATTTAAAAACGTATTAAATATTATGATGATGATGATGATGATGATGGTGGTGGTGGTGATGATGATGATGTGGCGGCGGCGGCGGCGGCGGCGGTGGTGGTGGTGGTGGTGATGATGATGGTGGTGGTGGTGGTGGTGGTGATGATGATGATGATGATGATGATGATGATGATGATGAATAAGGAACCCACGCCACCTCAGCGTCCATGTGGTATTTCGTCAGACCAACACTGCTTATGTGGCTGGACACGTGTGTAGGTTACCGGTTACACAACCGGTTAACCTGTTAAAAGGGTGAAAACGTAAAAATTTACATAAACTTCAGGCATTAATGAACATAAATGTCGTCAAAGGGTAAAACCAAACATTTGTTGAAAACTTAAGGGCTTTTATGACATTATCCCTTATTTTAATTTTAATTTTACATCATTTTATAACATAAAACTTTATCAAAAAATAAAATATTATTGTGCCTTTTAAAACAACATTTACTAAAAATTTATGTTACAATTTTACTTAAATATTATAAACTCTATTTTTTATTTTGTCGGTTAGGGTTAAGGTAATAATATATAATTTGCTTTTTAGATCATTTATTTTTTAATTATATTTAGTATCTTACTAATATTTTTAGGATTCTTATTGCATTATTAAAATGACATTCCAATTGGGTAAATCTGTCATATTAGATGTTATAGCAGAGATAATATGTAAACCTAAATAAACATATTCTGCTGTATCAAGGACGTGTTCATCATGCGACGTGAACTTGACAGCTTGTAGCGTTTAATTTTTAAAAAATGCTCAGAAAGAAAAAAAAACTTCGTGCATTTGACACCATGAGCATTTAGCTTTTAGGTTAAACTAAGACTATCCCAATCGGTGCACATGGACGAGCGGATCACACATTTTAATTAAAAA